TTTATCGTAAATTTCCTCCTCTTTAACGAGCTTTTTTCAAAATTGCTTAAATATTAATACTTTTTGAGTTATTAACGAGAAACTAAATACCATTTTTTTTAAATCTTATTTTGTTGTTAACAAAATCCTTCAAAAACATTTTTCTAGAGGTGATTCCGAATCGAATGAGCTATCGCTAATATTTTCAGGACCTTTATCTCTACTTTTCATTTTTTTGAACTTGTTGGTGAGACTATATTTGTTTTTATGGTCTACATTACCCGACAAAGACGGACTATACTTTGAAAAGCGTACACGGCGCGTGAACTAATTGCATTCGATAATGTCTTCCGTTTACCATGAACAATCAATCATTGAATTGAGTCGTAATAAGTGATAGTCTCAACGTGCTTTGAAGTAAAAGCAATAACCCTTTTGATACGTATATTATAAACTATTTCTTCATCTTAGTCCAGGATAAATACAATAATGTAGTGAAGGGATACATGCAGCAGGCCCTGAACATTATAACAAGATGGACCGAAAAAGAAGGGCTTAACATAAGCCCATCCAAATCTACCATAGTAGCATTCACCAAGAGGACTAAAACGGAGGGTCTCGGACCTCTAAAACTTCGGGGTGAAGAAATACAAGTGTCGGGGGAGGTTAAATATCTGGGAGTAATCCTAGATTCCAAACTGACCTGGAACCAACACTTGCGACAGGATAAAGAGGAAAGCGGGGGTAGCACTGCTGCTCGCCAGACGCACCTATGGGAAAACATGGGGCCTAAAACCAGACATGGTATATTGGCATTACACGATGGTGGTTGAACCCATGATAACATACACATCTCTGGTCTGGTGGCCAAAGATGAAGCAGGCGACCGCCACCAACAAACTAGGCAAGGTGCAAAGACTTGCATGTTTGGGAATGACGGGAGCAATGAGAACTACCCCAACAGCTGCGTTGGAGACACTCCTGAATCTACCTCCTTTACACTTTGTGATAATGGGGTAGGCCATGATGGGCCAATTCAGACTGGAAAACTCACCGAACTACAAAAGATCGGACCGAACAGCAATTTCGGAATAAGTGGAGGAGCACATATTGAATATGTGCACGGACCACAGGACACCGAAGTACACCTTTAACACAAACTTCACGGCCAATATCATAAGCCGTGAAGAGTGGAAGCCCATTAGTAATCCCGAAAACATGTTTGGAAAAAAACCTGGTATACAGATGGATCGAAGACCAAACACGGAACGGGAGCTAGAATATACCGAGCGGATAGAAATCTAAACTACAGCTATCCGCTAGGACTATACATATCCGTCTTTCAGGCGGAAGTGTATGCTATCTTGCAGTGTGCAAGGCTTATTGAATTGAGACCTCAAAGAAATGAGCGGATCAATATTTTTACAGACAGCCAGAGTGCACTAGGGGCTCTGACAAATCCGAAGGTGACATCAAAACTGGTCTGGTAATGCCATGAGGAACTGAATGAACTTGCAAACAGGAACAAATTAACTTTGTACTGGGTGCCAGGGCATTCAGGAATCACAGGTAATGATGAAGCTGATGAATGCGCTAGACGCGGATCAGCAACTTCATAAATAGGTCCTGAACCAGCTCTGGGGGTACCAAAATCATTGGTACGAAACCAGATTAGGACATGGACCAATAAGAAGCACACAGAGTACTGGACAAAAGTACCTGGCAACAAACACAGTAGAACCTTCATTAGGGAATCGTCCGAGAAAAGAACTGAAGAACTACTTCAATAGAAGTAGCTCAGAATAATTACAGGGTTACTAACCGGTCATTTTCCGCTTAGAGGACACCTGAATAAAATGGGGCTGTACAACGGAGACCTCAGCTGCAGATTATGCATCGAAGAGATAGAAACAGCTCTACACATCTTATGCGAATGTGAGGCACTGAATCACAGGAGGCAGGCAATATATGGACGTACAAAATTACGCCCAGAAGAATATGACGAACATCCAACACGGAACCTGTACAAACTAGTACAGGGAACGAGACTGATGAGGAACGAGAAGATGGGAGAATAAACGCAATAAGCCCAAGAGGCTGCAGTGTTTTCTGGAGACTTGGACTAAATGGACAGACAGCTCCCAGCTCAGACAGCTCCCAAGGTACAAAAAAAACTATTTCCTCGAAAATTCATTGAATAAGTATACTAGTTAACAGATGGATATAAAAAAAAACGTGTTGGCTTTATATTGAATGAGCATTTGACTTTGAGAAAGCTCTGTTCAAGGTGGGTGCTGCTCAAGCTAACTGTTGACCAAAAACAAGAACGTCTTGATGATTTTGAGCAGTGTTTGGCCATGTTTAAATATAACAAACCAAAATTTTTGCATCGAAATATGACAATGGATGAAACATGGATTCATCACCATATACGCCAGATTTGGCTCCCAGCGACTTCTGGCTGGTCGCAGACCTCAAAAAAATACTCACCGGCATGAAATTTCCTTCGAAGAAGAAGGTTATTGCTGAAACTGAGGCCTGGTAGGCCTCAAAAGATGAATTGTTCTACAATAGTGGTATTGAAATGTTAGAGCGTTGTACAGCGAAACACGTGTCGCGGTTTTTGTAAAACCCTTCACAGTGAAAATCATACAAAAACCGTTACACGTGTTTCGCTATACAATAGCTTCCTCAAGCGCTTGAAGAAGCTATCGTATAGCAAAACACGTATCGCGGTTTTTGTAAAACCCTTTACAGTGAAAATCATATAAAAAACCATAACACTTGTTTCGCTATACAATAGCTTCCTCAAGCGCTTAAAGAAGCTATTGTATAGAGAAACACGTGTTTAGAGTGAAAATCATACAAAAACCGTGACACGTGTCAAGCGTTTGAAGAAGCTATTGTATAGCGAAACACGTGTCGCGGTTTTTGTAAAACCCTTTATAGTGAAAATGATAAAAAAACCGTGGCACGTGTCAAGCGCTTGAAGAAGTTATTGTATAGCGAAATAGGTGTCACGGTTTTTGTAAAACCTTTTACAGTAAAAATCATACAAAAACCGTGACACGTGTTTCACTATAGAATAGCTTCCTCAAGCGCTTGAAGAAGCTATTGTATAGCGAAACACGTGTCGCGGTTTTTGTAAAATTATTTACAGTGAAAATCATACTAAAACCGTGACATGTGTTTCGATATAGAATAGCTTCAAGCGCTTGAAGGAGCTATTATATAGCGAAACACGTGTCGCGGTTTTTGTAAAATTCTTTACAATGAAAATCATACAAAAACCGTGACACGTGTCAAGGAGCTATTGTATAGCGGAACACGTATCGCGGTTTTTGTAAAATTCTTTACAATGAAAATCATACAAAAACCATGACACCTGTCAAGCGCTTGAAGAAGCTATTGTATAGCGAAACACGTGTCGCGGTTTTTGTAAATCTCTTTATAGTGAAAATCATACGATAAACTGCATTAATGAGTTTTAATATGGATTTTCATCAAGTATCCAGTTCTATTCACAATAAGAAATATGTTCTACCTCTTTCTTCATCATTTTACAAAAGAAATCTACCGTATAAGTTTTTCCATCGAATTCTGTAATATTACCTTATATTTTATGTGTTATTACTTCTGATAGGTGATTTTTTAAGAGATTTTCAGAACAACATAAAAAATTTGAAAAAATTGATGAAATCTTTATTGGAATCGATAGAACGATCAATATAATTTTATGTTTGAAGATGATTTCATGCAAATGTTGTCCGCGGCTCCGCTTTAGATGGTCCATGCGCAAGGTCCAATTTTGGCACACCCTCTCTAACATATCGACCGGTATTTCACGTAGAAATGCTTCAATTTCGGCTTCCAGAGCATCAGTCGTTGCTGGTTTATCCCTGTAGACATGAGATTTAACATGAACCCACAAGAAATAATCCAAAGGCGTTAAATCACACGATCTAGGTGGCCAATTGACGGACCCCAAACGTAAGATAAACTGTTCACCGAAGGCGGCTCTTAATTAGGTCATTGTTTCACGTGCCGTGTGGCATGTGGTACCGTCTTGTTGAAACCACATGTCAGGCATGTCCAATTCTTCAATTTTGGGCAACAAAAAGTCGTCAATCATCACACGGTAGCGCTCACCAGTCACAATAACGTTCCGGCCATTGTCGTCTTTGAAGAAGTACGACTCGATGATGCCACCGACCCATAATCCACACCAAACAGTGACTTTTTCGGGATGCATAACTAGCTCTTGCAATGCTTGTGGCTGGTCTTAACTCCACATGCGGCAATTTTGCTTGTTAACGTATCCATTCAACCAGAAATGAGCTACGTCGCTGAACACAATTTTTCGATAAAAATGTGGATCTTCCTCCAACTTTGCCAGATCCCATTTATCAAATGTTGGACGTTGTGGGAGGTCGTGTGGCTTCGATTCTTGCACCAGCTTTATCTTATAAGGGTAAACACCCAAATCCTTTCGCAAAATTGTCCACGTAGTGAAGTAACAGAGACCCAATTGCTCCGAACGGCGGCGAATTGACATTTCACGGTCATCACGAACACTGGCGGATACAGCCGCAATATTTTCTTCGGTCCTCATTCTACGTGTGAGTGTTGATGGTTTGATGTCTAGTAATGTAAATTGGGTTCGAAATTTAGTCACAAGCTTCCGAATAGCACCCTCAGTAGGCCGACGAAACTGCCCATAAATTGGAAGAAGTGCACGATGCACTTTCTTCACCGATCATGAATTTTGATAATAAAATTCAATAATTTGCAAGCGTTGTTCATTCGTAAGTCGATTCATGGCTTAATTATAGACCAAAACTGAACTAGTTTGATAATGACAAAAACAGTGTTGCCAAAAAAATCAATAATTACTTCATTCATTCTAACGCTAGGGGGTTAGCTACAAATTTGTAAGACGGTAAAATGTTATCAAGTAAACACATTTCATAGCTCATGTACTAATTAAATATCCATACTAGATAAATAAGAATACTACTCACTGTTGACCTGGATAAAAACCTCATGTGGGATAAATTTGTAGGTTTCAACTCTACCCCAACATGGCCAATATGTCTGAAATTAATTGGCGATGAAATGTCCTGTTTTCTGATAGGTTTCCGCCTAAATTTTCCTTTGCCTCTCCTTTCCAGATTGAAGTCAATAGTTTGGAGGTCAGGTGTCGGAATGGAAAACTGTGGTTGTGGCATAATTTTCTTCGGATACCTGTCGAGTGTTCTAACCGCGAAAGGAGAATCAGATTCCATTTCCCAATTGATGTCCTTTGCGAAAATGGAACGGATCCCCGAGTCGACTTCATCACCAGATTTTTTTGGATGATCCAAATCCACAGAAATTCCTTGCGGTTCCTTCGATTCATCTTCAGCAGTGATGATTTCATAAGTTGGTTTATACGTACTGTCATTCAGGTCATTAGAAATATATTCGTTTTGAGTAGCGTCAACATTACTTATATCCAAATTGTTTCTACTGTTATCTTGATTTTGGTAAATTTTCATCATTTCTTTTGCCATGATCTGTTTATAAAAATGTTCATAGATTAATGAGGTCATACACTTTCAAAAATAATTGGGCAAATCATTCGAAATTCCTTCTACAGTTAAAATTGAACGTCATATATTGGGAAAATTAATGTCTGTAGAAGAAATTTCTTTTGTCAGTTTTATTATTTGTTTTGATAGTCCTTTATACACTGTATCATGGATACGATGTAGATTTGAAATAATGTTGTCTAAATAAAAACAGTTGTTGAAAAATGAATTTGTCAAGAAGGAAAAAGGAAAGTCTTGTCAGTTCTGATTAAAAAAAGCATTTTCTGCAAAGTTTGAGCAGTTCCATATACAGTTTTACATTGGTCCTTGAGTTTTTATTCTAACACGCTATGGGATCCAAAAAAGTGCTAAATAATGCTGCCAATGAAAGTGGTATGCAGAGAAGCAATAGATACAATAAAGACAACCCTCCGAAAAGATTCCCGATCAGAAATGAATGCTGTTGAATTCTATTCAAATGTGACTCTTGAGGTCTCTGATTTTGACTTCAATGTTTCTGAAAAAGTTGTTATTCCTGATTCTATTCCTGAGACTTCAGTCAAAAAAAGGTGAATTCGAACAAGGAGTCAGTTACAGGTAAGAAGTTCAATATGTCCAAGTAGAACTTAGAACTCCAGATGTTAAAAGAACAACAAAAAATTGAAGAATAGGATGAACAAGAAAAAGTGGAAAATTTTCAGAGAAGAAGCTTGAATTTAGCAAAAGAAATAGAGCTGAAGAAGAGAATGATAGAAAGTTCTGAAAATAATTGTTAAAGCCCTTCGAAAAGTTTACAAAGAAATGTATAATGTATCTGAGCAAGTGGATTGAGGATTCCAAAAAGGGCATCGCTTCTCAATATTTAATTTCCAAAAAAAACTTTTGATGGATCCAAAATATGTGAGTTTGGAATCCACTGCAGCTGTAGTACGTAAACATTGCAACAGTAATGCCTTTTCTGTAAGGGGTGGAGAAAGAAATGTATCCTTTTCAATAGTGCTGGAAATAAACAGGTTTCCAAAATGTATCCGACTCATCAAATCTACTGTAGAATTCCCAAATGTGAGAGGCCAAACGAAGGAAAACTGGATGTTGACATGATTGAGGAGGCTTCTCAAATCTGGTTACAAAAGAGCCAGTACGAATCTTTCTAAGAAGTAGGTCTGTTGAAGCAAAATATGGTACTTCAAAAGTTCGGTTAGGTGTTCGTCCATTGGAAAATCATAGTGTTGGTCCTATTATATCTAGAGGAAAATTGGAGTGATGGTTTGTATTTGGGAATTCTTCAAAACCTCATTCACCCACGAATTTAAGGAGTTGTGGCCAACAATGAAGATGGATTCGAAAATCTAGTAATTTTCCAACAAGACGGGGCACTCCCCACAACTTTTTTAGGCTTCTAAAGCATTGGTTGGGTCAGACAAATCCAGACATGTGGATAAGTAGGCGCGGTCTGTTGGAATGACTAGCCCGTTCACCAGATTTGACTCCTCTCAATTTTTAATTCGTGGCTGAATCGAATCGAAAGTTTATGTTACTCCACCAAAGACAATACGGAAACTCAGAGACATAATTACATGACAGAAGTGGGATTCTACTCATCAGATCTGTTGCTTGGGTGCTTCATTTCAAGAAATTTCTTAAAATTCCCAAATGTGAGAGGCCAAATGAAGCAAAACTAGATGTTGACATGATTGAGGAGGCTTCCCAAATATGGTTACAAAAGAGTCAGTACGAATCTTTCTAAAAAGTAGGCCTGTTGAAGTGAAATATAGTACTTCCAAAGTCCGGTTAGGTATTCGGCCATTGGAAAATCATATTGTTGGTCCCATTATATCTAGAGGAAAGCCAGATTGATGGTTTGTATTTGGAAAATCTTCAAAACCTCATTAACCCATAAATTCAAGGAGTTGTAGCCAACAATCAAGATGAATTCGAAAATCTAGTGATTTTCCAACAAGACGGTGCACCCCCCACCATTTTTCCGGCTTGTAAGGCATTGGTTGGGTCAGACATACCCAGGCATGTGGATTGGTAGGCGCGGTCTGTTGGAATGGCCTGCCCGTTCACCGGATTTGACTCCTCTCAGTTTTTCCTTTGGGGCTGAAGTGGGATCAAAAATAGATCGTTCGACTCCGATAGCGTCCTCCTGGTGGTAGGTGATCACACTATAATTTTTTTTTTATCCAGAATTGGACACAAAAATTGTGAATGCATGCACGGCCTCATACTGTCCGGATCGTCACTCAGTATCTTGAAGAGGTTTACCTCACGTGATTTTTATGACCTGCTCACAGTCCGGATTTGAATCCTAGTGAACATGTTTGGGATGAGCTTAAGAAAGGTTTACAGAGACGTAAGTCGGCTGCCAAAAATTTTAGAGAGCTATGCGACATACTGGTACAAGAATGGAAAAGTCTTCCGCAGAATGTAGCTTCAAGAGGAGGGAACTAGAGCCCTTACAGTTTTTTTTTCAACCAAATGCATATCACAGTAAAATTGTTCATTTAATTTCCTAGCATACTGAAGTAAAATTGTTCATTTTCAGTATTAACAAATAAATTTGGGCAACGACACTTTTTTTTTCTCCAGGACTCGGTGAAATATGTGAAATCAGGAAGGGATATTCAAAAAAAAAAACAAAATAACTTCAAATTACGGAGTGACCCTATGAACATAGTGTATGAATTCCTCAAACGTTAATGACCGTACATTAACATCGCATGCGTTATCACAAATATGAATCTCTTTGGTGATTGAATCCTTCAAATAAACATTTATGATCAAGGAGACTACTACTCACGTCGGTTAGTTCGCCTTCCTTGTTGACTGGTATTAGCTCAACATTTCCTCTAGTCTTTTCGGCGCCAATTAATGATTCAGCACTCGAATCATCTGAATCACTCTCAGCCGAAATTCCAATGGAACTTTTCATAACACTCTTTTCAGTTTCAGGCGAAAGCGACAACTGTGTTTTGAGTATATTTCTTCTCTTATATCTGTCGAGTGTTTTAGCCTCATAAAACTCCTCTGAATGGATGTTTGACTGGATATGATCCGTGCAGTCATCTTCAACCCTCGTTCTTGATTCATTTTTGTCGGTAGAGTCGGTTCCAGTGCTTTTTTCAGTAATATTATTTGGCTGTTTCCTTCTCAGAATAATATCTTCTTTGGTGTTACTGTCAAAGTCTTCGCAGATATCACTAACATTAACTACATCAGCTGTAACTGAACTATTGTCTTGGTGTTCGCCAACATTGCGAATGGGAGTAGTTTCAATGTCCTCAGAAGCTTGAGTATTATCACCGGAAGCCTCTTTGTCGGAATCTGTCTCGTTTACCGTTTCTTCGGAAGAATTCAATTCCGTTACCGCCTGAATCCCACTCACTACATTGTTCCAGTTTATAATTTTTCTGGGACTTCTGGGACCAGAAATCATATCTTTCGTAACCTGCCTGCCTCTACTCCTTGGACTACTAGATTCTAGTAAACTATCCAAGCTAGATGCCTTCCTCAAACCGTATCCAGCTGACTGACTCGAATTGTCTTCACCGGCTTCTTCAACAACTCCGTCATACCAAACCGACTGAAAGTCTAGATTGATTTTTCTGTTTTTGCTTCTCTTTGTCCTGGCCAGAACGCCGAACTTATTTTGATTGCCACCTTCCAAATCCCTGGGTAAGGTCCGGATAGAACTTTGGAATAATTTCACTTGTATCTTGTCTTCCTCGTGTTTTAAATTCACGTTGCCGGAATACACGAAACCCGAACCAGCGAAAAAACTCATTTTTGTAACGGATTTACCATCATTTAACAGTATGTTGTAGTGTACACAGTAGAGATCGCATTTGAACTGTATCTTTTTTATCAGTTATTCATCGCTCTTTTATCTTATCTTTCGATTAAGTAAATTCTTGATAAATAATACACAAAAATATGGTGTTTATTACACTACAGGTCTCTATGAATCATTTTATTGATTCATAAATACTCCTAAGCCAATGCAACAAAATATACAGTGGCCTAACGAAAACAGAACAATAATTTCACTAGAGGGTTAGGTTAGGTTAGGTCCGACGTGAGTGGGTCTATTAGACCTTCCACCGCAACCCGCAAGGGTTGTAAGGCCGATTAGTTTGTATGGTGAGTGCTGTTTCAGGTCAGAGTACGGCACTGCCGAACTCTAAAAACCCGATTCGGTCCTCAGCGGGGCAGTCACAAAGTATATGCTCTGCAGTTTCATCATTTTCCAAACAGAGGCGACACACACTGTCTTCCGACAGTCCGAGTCTCGACATATGATGATTAAAATGACAGTGACCTGTAAGAAGGCCTGTTAGATATCGTAGTCCATCCCTACTGTAGTCCAACAACTGTTTGGTATCAAGCTTCGAAGTTTATCTTATAATGCACACTTCAAATACATAACTGAAAAAATATCAAAGAAACTTTACTTTTTTACTCGAATCTCTTATCATTTGTCAGTTTCTTCCAAGGTCACTATATATAACACAATCATTCAGCCTCATTTCGAATATTGTAGTACATTACTATATGGGTGTGATGAAAACAAAATTTCGACTTTACAAAAACTACAAAATCGTGTAATGAGAGTCATATTAAAATGTAATCATTATACAAGCATAAAGTTTATGCTCGACGCATTACAATGGTTATCAATATAATGATGCAGAACATCAGTAGTCTTAAACCTTAACATTTATCATCATGTATCAGTATGTTTTAAATTGTTAGTATAGTCTTATCTAAGTTAGTTAACTTTGAATTTTATTTCCTTTTCTATTATATTTCTCAACATTGTTAGGTTACAGTCATATGTATGACTCTAGTTATTAGTTATTATTATTGTTGGTTAAGGACATATTATTATTGTTTACTGATGTATTATTATTATTGTATATTATTATTATTATTGTATGTATATTAGGATTTCCTAAATAAACGTATTCATTCATAAATCTTCTTGCTATCCAGGTGATCAATCTTTGTTTGGCAAAGCCTAAAGCGATACCAATGACAGGTTCTGGTTTGATGAAGCTGCTTGTAGCACCCTTCACTAGAGGGACTGAGGCTTTGGAGGACAGCTTCTATTATATAGAGTTTAGTTAGAAGCCAATTAAAAATTTGAACTTCATAAAGGAAAATTTGTCACCAACTCATTAAATGTGCATGTACTTCATTGAATGACGATTTGAATTATATGACCTCCAACCTACTGAATGGCTGACGATTTTATCCTAGTCAAGGAAACAACTAATTAAAAATGTAAACAACATAAAAAAAAATGTTCTTACTCATTAAATGGACATGTTATTACCAATTCTATGTTCTTTTATTCTTTGGGAAAAGGTTCTCTCCGTTTGGCCAATATAAAGTTTTGGGCAAAAACCACGAGTCAACTTACAGTCTAACTTATTCGGTTTATGCCCTATATCGAATATAGGATACGTCAAATAGCTTTTGTCACACACACACTTTGTTTTATTTAAATTTTAAGATAGTAGCTATCCCATAATTTGTAACCAATGTAGGTATAAATAACATTCAATTTACGTTAGGTCCTAGCAAAAAATCACCTGTTTCGTAACAGTGGCTTGTTTTTAGTGAATAGGTGAAGAATATAATCAAGTGAGAATATGTAGACAATATGAGCAGTTGATTACAAAAACACATGTGTTTTCAAAACCATATTATGAACCATACTGATGCACGTCTATTTATAGTGGTGAAGAGATCAATAATTACAGAAACAAATGCATATTTTTCCGTGTCAAAACATGATCTGAAAAATGTGGAACTATATAATTTGCTGATATATTTATCAATTATATTCGACGAAATCCATGACAAAACACTTTATTGTAAAATTTTTCAAAAAAACAGTTAACTAAAACTATACCGGGTCCTCCAAGGGTGCATACGAGTATTTGCTCGATATATTGATAATGCTGTATATATACAGCGTATACGCTACGCTAGTTTACGCTTGAGGAAGCTATTATATAGCGAAACACGTGTCGCGGTTTTTGTAAACTGTATTAATTAGTTTTAATATGGATTTTCATCAAATATTGACCAGTTCTATTCAATTATTAAAGATTTTAGCATATAATTTTTCATATCAGTACTTATCAGAGTGTCCATATTATTTTCGTATTATTGAAGTTTGGCAAACTCCCTCAATTTTGGAAAAAAAATTAATATTCAATGTCATTACAAATAAAACAGTAAAACCTATAAGCTCGCCAACAAGTACGTAACATTCAAAATTGCATATGAAGATTGCAATTTAACAGAAACTTATTATTGAATAATGAGGTTATGTTTGTAGATGTTAAACTATCACAGCCTTCTCAGCTTATAGCGCCTGTAATAGTCAAGTCATTCTCTCGACAGTTCACAGTATAAATTAAAATTAGTCAGTTGAACGAATGAAGTATATTAAATCTCCCCCTTTTTTATTTCCGTCTTGAATGTCACCAATTATAGCTTTCAGAGAGCAGAGGTCTTTCAATTAATTGTTTGCGTGGGTACAAATACAGTGAGTGCGGCACCAACGATAATGAAACAGATCGAATTTCTTCGATACACGAGAAAAAAGCAAAAACAGGTCGATAATCAATTCAAGGGACACATCTTTCTATCATAACCTCATCTGTCATACCTCCTTTCCCGCCCTTTAATGATCATCATTCTTGAATATGGTGGCACATTATTAAAAAAGTTATTTTTTAAATAATTCATCTATATGACTGTTCACTACATAACTTTTCATGTTAGCGCCCCCTTTTGAAATTATTCACGGCTTTCCATTTGTGGGTTCATATGATGAAGTAAACAGTAGTGGTATGGAGTGCCATCTCTGTGTATCCGTTCAAAGTCATTAAATTAGGCAGGCGTCACTGTAGTAGAAACGCCCGCTTGCAAAAGCTTTTCAACTTACACAATGATTCATTGACTTTCAATTGTATCTCACATCTCACAATAACTTTGTTAGGTTACATTTACCAAATAATATTCGATTACGTGAATAGTGTATACTTATTCAATTTTCAATTGAAATAAGCGTTATTTTGCACCGTGTTTTTTTTCCTCCTAGTATTGATACTACCCATGATAATAATTTTTTATTGTAAGTGCGTTTTGCTAACAATGTAGCTTCATCGATAGTGTGAGATAGAGTGTTCTGACTCCAAAGGAACTGCAGATGTTGTGTGTCAACACCAAAAACTATGCAACACAATGTACATGTTATCTATATTAGAGAAATACTTGAACCTATCAAAATTCAAAACAATAGGTTCCATTCACTGCATTATTAAAGCTTATTATTTTAGAATTTATTTCACAGTTATATCAGCTAAACTAAAGATAAAAGTTTTGTGTGTTATAAAAGTGTTGCAACTGTTAACCAGCTATGGCAATTGTCATAACCAGCTATGATAATTGTTTTGCTGTCATAACCATCTATGGCAATTGTTTTGTTGCACAGCTATAGCAATTGTTTTGTTGCCATAACCAGCTATGGCAATTGTTTTATTGCAATTGACAGATATATTTTTTCAATTTCATTCTAACTAGCACTAGCACAAATGAACAGTGACTAGATAACTCAACAGTTTTAATCTGCTGGAAAGGAGAATGGAGAATAATTATATCTTTTTCTAATCTATAGATTCAAATCTAACTTGACACTAAAAACTTAAAACTATTTTAATAAGTTTTGGGAAAAAAAGATTTTGGCTTCCTACTGGGAATCTATTGAAGAAAGCAATCAATTTCAAAAAATTAACTCTATTTGAAGATATGTAGATCATGCAAAGAAGAAACTTTCACAGAAACTGAAAGAAAAATAACTACTTTCATATAAACATTGAATCACATTAAAAATAATACTTTCAAGGCAAGTTATTTTATATGAACATTGAATTATATAAAAAAAACTTTTTTTATTCAGTTTATATTCCAATCACTCAAAGGATTGCTACAGAATACGGTAAATGAAAGAGGTGAAATTTCACTTGCATGGAACACTGCCATTCTCAATGGTGGACATCCGATGTTTCAGAATAATCTATCTTCAAATTTACGTATATAATAATAAATGATATTTACTGTAATAATTGAAAAAACATCAACAATTTAAATATAAGTAAGTAGTTTCCCACACTGAGCTCATAAAAATAAATTTATTGTACTAATACTAGGGAAAAGTTATCATTTTATTCAAGTATTTTTGAAAGAAGCAATATCTGAAAAAAACCTTTTTGCCTCTGTATTTCTGCATTAATGTATATCAAGAACAGATAATACCAGAGTCCTACGGTGAATAGGAACTTTAAAAAAATCTAAGAAAAAATTATCAAAAACCAATAAATTCTTGAAAGAAATGTATGGATCATTTAAACGTGTTTCTTTCAGTCACAAGAATTCTGAAAAAATACCTTATCATAAATTAAGTTCTTGTGTCTACGATCAGATAATTTTGAAGTTTTAAATGCTTTCTTACATGCAAATGTTAAATTTGTCTTTCTAACCTGCTAAAATACAGCACAGCGATTTGTCTAAAACACTGGGTTTGACGTTCATGACTAATCATTCAAAAGTAGAATACAGTAGTTTTGATAACTTCATATTGATTGAATTATTATTTACTTGAATGATGTACAGTATTCCAGGAATAGACAATAACTCAAATGTACAGTCTATACGAAGTCAATCCGAACAGCAAAATGAAAGACTAATATCCAGGTCTGATAAATTTACTTGTTAATACTATATAAAACCGTCCCACATGAAAATAATGATTAGACCTCCTTCTCCTCCTGAATTTCTTTTCTCTCACTCAGAGTATGCCAGCAGTGTCTAGTTCGGTAACTATTTAGATTTTATGCCATTCGAATTTACTTCGTGTACACTATAGAAAAACCTGTGAAGGAATATAACAAATTATGGACTTACCTTCAGATTAGACAGAGATGTGGACCTCCTTTTAGGCAGTTTGCTAACAGTTTTCCTGTTCGACTCTTGTTTGGTGGAATGAAGAAAATGAACATGTTTTTCTAGAGACTCTGTAGATTTTGATTTACGAACTTCTAATTTGACCTGCTGCAATTTATAAAGACTACTGTTCTGGAGTTCATCAAATAAATTGACTGATTTGGAATCAGCTTTAGACAACTTTGAGTTTGAGCTATGAATAAATCGTTTATTATTCGCTTCCATCGTTTCATGATAGTGAGAATATCTGCATTGTGTTTGTTTGGTCTCCAAGTTCTGTTTAGTTTTTTCTATTTTTTCATATTTTTTTTTATTAAGGCCCAGACAACAGGGGCATGGAATCATTTCTAAAAACACATATTCACTACTGTAAATTCTTTAATGCACCTTTGTTATTGTTCTCAAACTGAAAGGAATGTTTTATTGTTATCAACTCTTATCTCCTAATTTTTATTCACTTCATCGAGAGTTTTTTAAATTACCGCTGTAATCTGACACAAATGTCATACGATAGAATGTGAGCGTGCCCAATTTGACAGTTGACCATTTTTGAATTGATGGATTCCAGCCAGTGGGTGCGAGAAATTTTTTATCTGTGTCTATAGACAGCAATTTCCTCGCATGTAAACCTTGTTGTGTACGCTTTGTCTTTGTCATGAGGTCAATAGACCATATTATTGAGGTTTGAAGAGAAATTTGATTGAATATATGGACTTTACGTTACCTTGAGAAAGAAAATTCAGATAATTCAGTAATTTCGCAAAGCCAAGTTCCATGCCTAGGCGATCTTTGGCCTAGGAAAGTTGGGAATAAGCTGTCAAAATATACTTGAAAACGGTAAACACTATGTGAATACTAGCAAAATGAACAGAATAATAGAATTTTGAAATAGTATTAGTAATAGATTGAGCTTTGGCGTGAAAACATAACATAACATCCAATAGTAATTGTTTTATTGCTTTGTCAAACAAACACAGAATAGCTGGACTGCAAGTAGACATATTCTACCAGGATTGGCCCATTCAAAAGGCATTTTTTTTAATAGTAGATCAGACACTGAATAGGAAAATATATCTTAATTCTATATTGAGTTTTTGTGTAGAGGGGTAACGACCGAACATTTCCAAACGATTCAAAATTACTTTGATTCAATAATGTTACTTGCCAACATTTGTGACAGTTGGGTAGAACATTGTTCCGCGAAGAATACTGGAATTTCATAAAACTCTGTTCAGTTACGATGATATTATTCTTTCAATCTTATGTACAAAAAACGCGTGCCAAAAAATCAATTTATAAGGAAGAAATTCGAGGGACACAAGTTGCTTAACGAAAAAGCTGTTGTAAATGTAACAGAAAAGTTACAACAAACTTCAACTTCTGAGAAATTTTCAGTTCCCTAATGTCTGTTTTGTAATTTTTTGAATACAAGTCCTTATTTGTTGTTATGCAGCTTTCAAGCTCAAAGTTTAGATAATGAGTTGCAAGTGTGTGATACGGTATTGCAAACATATGTTGTCACTACTTCATTATTTTATTTGAATAAACATTTTTTTTTCTTATCTCAAGCTCAATTTATCTTTAAATAAACTCATATTCATTCGTGTAATCAAAGTTCATCTCCTCGTATACTATTTGTATTATCTGAAACTGGAATCTGGAATCGAACGTAATTACCACAAATAAATCCTCATTGGTTGAAATTAGTCATGTAAGTGACGCAACACAAGTATCTGACAGCACAGAATAAGTTTCTGTGTATCTAGTCTGGATCGTCCCAGTTTGTTCTCCTCGAAGTTAGCAATACTCCACTATCAAAATGACATAGAGGGTGTTGCCCGGTGAAATCTTTCAAATTCTTTATTTATCGTATTTAATAAAGGAAACGTGTTGTAGTATGAATAAATAGTGTGGATTCATAGTATTTTTTTAATATTCAAAGCAAACATTAAAAATGTCGTATTATTATAGAACAATTATGGATACTTTCTGGAGTGAAAATATTTGGCTACCACCAAACACAACCTGGGCAGACATAAGCCCTGATGCAGACACAGAGGTAAAACATGCAGATTCGAGACATCTATTTTATCCTCTACCAATGGCCTTAGTTATGCTGTTATTACGATATTTAGCCGAAAAGTAAGTTTGAGGTTAAGTAACTGAAGATATATTTGATATTTTTGTCACCCGTAGATATTGGTTTGCCCCTGTTGGGACTTCGTTAGGAATAAAAAATAGTAGACCAAAACACGCTCCTGATAACCCAATATTGGAGAAAGCTTATGTCTTGTCAAAAAAATGGAAACACAAACAGGTAACTAAATTATTGTCTATGTAATCTGATGCATCTAGATCTAGAATTGGAAACAAGAATAATTCAATTAAATCTCCCACACATCACGACTGATGTGTGGATTTACCTACATATCGGTTCTGATGTGTGAGTAAATCAGAAAATACCAGTCTCAGCTTATGTTTCTCCAACCAAATGAATCCTATTGAGGTAGTCATGAAGTATATGGTTTTCTAACTGGGGATTGCCCAGCACCTAGTGAAATTCAATTACTTATTTCCTCAATGGAAATACCTTAATTACTTCTCATATGTCATATGTAGACACAAACAGATCTAAGCTATCAAGTTAAATGTATATTATGAACACATTTGACTTTTTTGTTTCTCTATAGATATTTGTTGCTTATACTATTTGAAAGTGGTTTTAGTAGCTTACTTAGTTAGGCCCAAATTTGATTTCACAAGCCCTAGAATTATTAGTTTTTATGATTATACTTATGATTATACTGAAAGTTCTATGCTACTTTTTGTTCTGTTTCAAGAATATATCTTCGTTCCTGCTTTAATAATATCAGTTCTGAGTAACTGACAATTAGGTGTGAAACCAAAGGGCTTTTCTAAACGAGTCAAATAATCATATAATGGTTGACTTATTAAGATTGATTCTTTGCCCTCTTGGAATTTTACGTCTCAACGTCTCAGTAATTTAAATTGTAATAGATTCATCTACGAGAACATTGTCCTTGAGATAATAAAGCACATTTCAATTGATTGGCAATAAAGTCATGAAGTTTTATGAATTACTTTTATTCGTTTATTGATTTGACTATTGAAACATGCTTTGAGGACTTGTTTTTATATAGCACTGGTATGAAGATTGTAGATGTAGATATATCTCTTCTCCATCATTCAATTCATTGAGTGGAAAAACAACTTCTTTAAGGAATTTTATTCATTACAGAAGCTGAAATACACCTTTTGTTAGCACATAAAGTTATGTAATATTTATTTAAGCAATAAAAAAAAATTATTATTAATATTATTTCAGATACAAGGCTTGGCGAAACAACTAGATATGACTGAAAGGCAAGTTGAGAGATGGTTGAGGTTACGTAAAGGTCAAAACAAACCATCTACTTTGGTTAAATTTTGTGAAAATTCTTGGCGTTGTCTATATTATACCTTCAGCTTCATTTATGGAATAACTATTTTATGGAACAAGCCTTGGCTCTGGAATATTAATGAATGTTGGTAAGTCTAATACTACACTACTATTTCCCCCTTATTCTAAAAACAGTCTATCCTGTGTTGGAAAACCAACCAATTTTTCAACTTTTTCAAGAAAATAAACGAAGGTTTCACATACAAAGTTTTTCTATTGGTGGCAGATCCCACTGTATAGGATTAAGGCGAATGTTTTGAGGTTTTATTCAAAATATATTCTAATTGAAATCTAATTGAAGATCCAAAAAACTCTCAATGAAATGAAACAATGGTGCCAAAAAATCAACTCACTTTGAATAGTGATAAGACAACCTGCATAAATTTCTATATGAAAAAGCCAGTTACAAAAACCTTTTATAAAAATTTAATATTTAGTAACAGCATCAAGTTACTCGGGACATGGCTCAACTCAGGCCTTAGTTTCTCCTCCCACATATACTTTGTTTGTAAAGAACTCAATAAAGCATACTATGCAAACCAATATCTACCAGACATGCGCGTTGACAACGATTTACAAACTGTTGGAAATCTGTTGGTGACTCGAGGTTGGAACGAACCTACTATGTGTTTGCATATTAGCATATATCAAGTAACATTGCAACATGGGGACTGGCTACTGAATGTAAAAGAGTTTTCACTTTTCAAAAAAGAATAATTAGACTATGATTTAATTTGGAATACAGGAAATCATGTAGGACTGTGTTCAAACAATACTCTCTATTCTGTCCTTCCATTCTATTTCCATTTTAAAATGTGTAACTTTTTTGAAAAGTATCATTTCTGACTTCAACGTGTTAGGAAGTCATCATAACTACCCATCAAGAACTTCTATATTGGAAATACCAAAACATAAAACTGCAACATTTAAAAAGTCTACATTTTATAATTGCATATTTCTTTATAACAACTTTCCAAAATATATAAAGGATATCAATAGCTGTAACAGCTTTAAAAATGCAACAAAAAAATACCTTCTGTGAAATAGCTTCTATTCAATAGAGGAATTTCTGGAATTGCAATCCAAATACTGAATGTTTTTTAATGTGTAAATAATATAGTTTATTTTACCTTTATTCGTAAATTTCCTAATTTTTATCTGTGTAACGTGAAATTTTTATATTCTTATGACTGTCAGCGACTTTTTTGACCTGACAATTGTACTCTTTATGTAAATATGGCCAATAAATACTACTACCACTACTACTACAATATAATAATAATAATAGCTTTATTGTCCAACAGTTACCCATTTACAGGACAATATAAAATTTTATTCACAATACTTAACCATAAACGAAAAATAAAATGACCAAAAAAGAAAAACTAATTCTAATTACCTACTTCAAGTACACGTTAGCAATTCTAATAATGTTATTAAGGTTGGTGAAGAATAAATCACCATGGGCACAAATGCTATTGAAATTTGTGCACATAACATATTGGGGAATTGAGCATAATGTTAGTTCTTGTTCTGAGAGGTCTAAAAATGGATTGAGATGGTGAAGCTGGCCGTGGTACATTGAAGTTGATTTGTTCAAGAATTTTAGGACAGTCAACTCTCTCATTCACTAACTTGAATAAAAATATGAGCGACACACATTTTCTGCGATGCTCTAAACTAAAAAGTTCCAATCGTTCATATATGACATCATTACTGATACCTCTCTCAGGATTAGAACCATCTACTCTGAAAATTAAAAATTTACAAAACTTTCTTTGACCTCTTCCAATGGCTATGTTATGAATCTCATAGAATGGGCTCCAGACGATACTTGTATATTCTATCTTCGAACGTACGTAGGTGGAATACAACAGCTTCATGGCTTTAATATTATGAAAGTTTCTGCAATTTCTAACAATGAAACCATAAGCTCTGAGAGATTCTGAAACATTCTGTGAATAATGTCTACCAAATGTTAATTTATGATCGAATATTACCCCTAGGTCTTTGATCTCATTACATCTCAGCAGATCTGAATCCTGTATTACATACGTAATTGTATAAACCTCTTTTTTTTCCGACTATAACTCACTACTTTACATTTCTCCACATTGAGTTTCAATTTATTATTGCTACACCAAGCAACAAGAAATTCTAATTGAGATTGAAGATTTACACAATCACCTACTTCCTTAATTATAGAAAATAATTTCAAGTCATCCGCGAAGCATAACCGCTCACAAGCTAAACTTTCACATAAGTCATTAATAAACAATAAAAATAAGAGAGGACCTAGGTCGGAGCCCTGAGGCACACCAGAAGAAGCTATATATGTTCTAGATTTATAACCGTTATAGGACACAAATTGTTTTCTACATGTCAGATAGGATTGCATCAGCTGACAGGCAGTATTTTAAAAATCAAAACTCATCAGTTCATTGAGCAAGACACCATGATCAATACTATCAAATGCTTTAGAGAAATCCGTGTATATAACATCAACTTGGCCATTGTTATCTAATGCCTCGGAAATAAATTGAGTAATAATGACTAGATTTGTAACAGTAGAACGCTTAGTAACAAATCCATGTTAATGTTGAGATAGTTGCCGTTGAACAGAAGTATATATGCGATTATATAAAATAATCTCAAAAATTTTAGAAAACATACATGAAATAGATATGGGTCTGTAATTCTCTATATATGATTTTTCACCACTTTTGTATACAGGACATACTTTAGCTAATTTCCAAATATCTCAGTATGTTCCAGATATCAGACATTAGTTAAAAATTGTCGTTAAAGGTTTTGCCAATGCTCCTGCACAATCCTTCAACAAAAATGATGGGATCATATCTGGGCCTGATGTCAGTTTGTCCTTTAGTTTTTTAGTTGCAGATACAACCTCATTTTCTTGAATGGGGTAGAAATGAATATGAACATTATTATTCACTGTACCAACTTTGTTCAAAAGTGAGCCAGATTTTGAATACACCTCACTGAAAAAAGTTACTGAAGGCATCAACAACATCTTGAGGATTCTCGAGTTTGTTTCCTAAGTAGGTTACCGATTCTGGTATTCTTGTGCTGTTATTCTTAGAGTGAACATATGACCAGAATCTGCTAGGATCTCTAGACAACATTGTTTGTATGTTTGCAAGATAGTTGTCATGTGCGGTTTTTATTTGGCTTTTAATCAAAGCACGCAAACGTTGGAACTCAAATCTATCCTCATCACGTCTAGATTTCCTGAATTTTTTTTCTGAATTTAGCCTTATGTTTAATGTTCTTTATGATATCAGAATGAAACCATTTAGGATGATCTTTTTGGTCATGAATGGTACTATGAGTATAGTTGAAGTAAATTGAATCGTAAAATTAAATATATTTGGTAATGTCTATTATTTTGTGTGGATAGAAAAACAATTAAATGATAATAGACAACATAATAAAGTGAATTTATTCATCAAAATACTTTTCTCGACGAAAAAATCCGTTTTTCTGTAACTAGATGAACTGTAAATAGATGAACTTTGCTTTGCCACTTTGAAAGTCACACATACCCTATTGAACAATTTTTTGCTTCTCGTTTGAATTGATGAAAATCATTTTTTGACAATATTCCTCAAGCTAGCTACACCACGATATCTCCGTTAAAAGAAGAGCAGAAAAGTCGGGAATAGAGTACAAAATTAGCGCCTAAGATAATGACTTGAAAATGAATGTCACAATACAATAAATCCCAGAATATTTTGTCAAAAGATTTTTGGAATATTCTTGGAATACCTGATAATTTGTATGTACTATCCGGAAAATTTGATACTTTTTTTTAAATATCAATAGCAACAATTCTTCCCGTTTTTCGATTACACAGTTGGAAAGATGATGACCACTCAGGAACTCAAATCTTTTCAAAATTTTTAGATATATTAAAGCTTTCTTCTATAATTCTTTATGTGAGTGCTAGTACCTTTCGTTGTTATCATTAGTTGTAAAAATAGATAACCCGTTTAAACATTAACATTCAGTCTATTTGAAATTATACAAAAACACATTCATTATGGTGGAACTAGATTATATAATATCAGTTGATTAACCAATAAAATATCACCTACTGTTTATTCTAATTAGGTGAAAATATTTAAATTTGATAAGTCCCCTCAAAAACAATAAAACAGCTAAAATTCTAGGCAGCATTTACAAAGTTTTACAGATATTTATTGCACTAGTCCTGTATGAACTATCAAAATGAACATAAACTGGTGCTCACATTTCACATAAATCTAAAATTTGTATTTTGAAACTAAATTTCTTTGAGTTTATATTATAGCTTACTTTTTTTTTTTGAAATAATTTTAACATGTGAGGTCGGTTTAAAAAATGAGATGAATTTTAATTTTTCCAAAAGAATTATTTACTCATCGGTAGGTCTGTAGCCGGTCGGTTCGACGTGGGTGCTTTGTTCATTCACTCAAATCGACCGCCGTGTTGGTCGGTGGTTGAAGCCCCAGGCCGAATGATCGATTTTAACTTGCTGTCGTCCAACTCGTATTAGGAATCACACGTTAAAGGGTAAGACCTCGTTAGTCCTTAGCTCGCACAGGTTTCGACTTCTGAGGGTTGTCGTTCGTAGGAGTGCGATAGCTGGTAAACGGAAAAAACACCTTTCAAACATATTTAAAGTCACCTGCTTAGCAAAATTTTCGAACTCATGGGTTTACACACATTCAAATTTAATGTACTTGCCATATAAACCCTGAAAATCTTTCTAACCGCTTCTTTGGATATCATTTAATACAATGAACACTCTTTTTGGTATCCATGCTCTGAAATTAAGTTTACTAATATTTGAATTTTTCTTGATAAGAATGTATAATCTATTTCAACTCTGATCAAAAAATTTTGGTTGTTTTTAATTAATGAATTGATGGATGTAGCCGTTACTACGTGGTAGATCACTATGGAATTGCTAACCTGCTCATTGGGGGGTTTGTTCCCCCACCTGAGACAGGTTCTGCTTACGCCGCTCAAGAATTTGGTGCAAGGCGGTTTTATAAGGTAACCCGCTCTTGAGGAGACGACTTTT